CTCAAGCCTGTCAAGGTCCTTCTGGATGGCCCACTGTATTTCCCCACATACACACGTCATTATTATGGGATGAAATGGTGTCTCTGCTTCTAGCAGGAGTTATGTGCTGGTGCTCAAAGGCTCTCGAGAGTCTCCCTATCTTCAGCAGCAGCTAATGATATAGTTCTCTTAAAAAACCAGCATTACTTTTAATATATCTTGGTGTGGGCGTTGTTCCTGAGTACGGCATGTTGGAACCATGGGGTGTGTGTGGTGACCAGGTGGTGAAGCCGTGTCTCCACAGTGTGGGTGCAAGAACTGCGGACGGTCCTTCTGCTCAGGCTGCCTTGGCTTCAGCGCTGCTGTTCCTCGCTGTGGAACCACTCAGCAGAAGGTGTGCAAGCAGTGTTATGGAAAACTAACTGGGTAAGACAGGAGTGTTTCTTCACCCAATGACAGCATCCTGCTTTGTTTCTTTGTTTCACATCCCAGTGTTGTGTTGCACGTTTCTGCGTGTGAGCTGTGCCTTGCACACTGCCTGTACCCTGGGGTTTCAAGCCAGGCTATTACTGAGCTGCTGTTACACGAGCTGTGCAGTCCAAAGATAGGAATGAGGATTTGTGAGGCTGTTCTCTGTGGTGACAAGGTAGTCTGAAAGAACCAGGTTCTGAAAGAACCTCCTGCCCAGGGAGGTTGTGTAGTCTTCTTCTCTGGAGACATTCAAGACCCGCCTGGACACCTTCTTGTGTGATCTCATTTAGGTTCCTGCTCCGGCAGGGGGATTGGACTGGGTGATCTTTTGAGGTCCCTTCCCATCCCTAATATTCTGTGATTCTGTGAAATCTTTATGGATAGACACTGAATGCCTGGGGATATCTTAACTAGACAAGACCAGGTTAAGCCCCACCATGTTATTACCCAGAAATCTACACCCTGTTGAAAGTACTGTCGGTCTTTTCAGATGGGTACTAGTCAAGTGGTCTGACAATAAGATATTCAAAGAGTTGTTACCTCTGTGGGCAAACAGTGATGCAAATCCTCATTGTTGAATCCTCTGCTATGTGTTGCCTGAAGACTTAAAATTTTGTAGCATAAAATCAGTTTGCTTTTAAAAGTAAAAAAAAAAAATTGCAAACATAACGTGTATATTGCCTGTTGAAAACAAATAAAAGTGGAATTCAGCAGCAGTATGAGTTATACACGTGAACAAGTAACACAAGAGCACAAGTATACACCAGAACCCCTATCTCAACCAATTCTTCTGGGTCCTCTCCCTTCTCTTGTATTTCTTTTACCTCTCTTCCTCACTTATCTCCTATAACAAGGAATTTTCACCAGCAAATGGGGAATTTTCTGGCTCTGCAGGTGTCTAAAAGAGAACAGCCTCTCATTAGCAGAGGTCTTCGTTTAGGAAGCGCTGGCTCATGAAAACAGTGTGAGCCATTGATAGTGAAAACACAGTATTCAGTTTTTTGTTAAAGGAGAAGCTGCTGCCTGAGCATTCACACACCATTCAAGGAGTTGCATGTGCACCACCCAAGACTTTAACTGCTAGGACTGCAGTCCCTTCGCAGTGGGCCACTCCAGTGAGCCCACGGGTGCCCCTCTCGACTCCTCACTCACACACACACTCTTGGGCACTTCCTTTTCCTTCAGGCTCAACCCTAGGTTTCCCGTAGCAGAGTCTCAGGCATTGAATCTTATTTTTTAAAATAATTTATTCAGATGGTACAGACAGGAAAAAACAGCTTGAGCTGGGTGGCTCCTGAGAGGGACCCTGGACAAATAAATCCCTGAACAATCACACCCTTACAATCTATGCGCCTGCCCCTGATACATTCTTCATGTGCCTTTTTGGTCCAGTGGTGATTTCTGGTCTGGAGTCTTCTAACACCTTATTGGATTCTTCCTCTGTCTCCAGGCAGGCTGTTAACTGTTCTTACCTTGCCAAGTGTGCAGCTTCTGCTGGTGGTTGTAGCCTCCTTCCCTTCTGGTTTGTGCTTCTTGTGGACCTGCTCGCTGGCAGAGCATGGGGAGCAGAAAAGTCCTAGACTTAGGATGCATGCTGCTTAGCAACAACTAAAACATTTGTGTTATCAACATTATTCTCATACTAAATCCAAAACACAGCACTGTACCAGCTACTAAGAAGAAAATTAACTCCATCCCAGCTGAAAGTATATCTAGGTGAAAGCTCACAGCTTGTGGCCTGAGGCTTCAGCAAATCTAGCTACTAGTAAGTAATGCTAAGCAAACAGTATACTGAATTGCACAGCATTGTGCTGTAACTCCTGCATCTTAATGATGCTAAATAATTGACTTGAAGCAATTCATTCTATTTAAGACTTACTGATTTAGGCTAAACAACTAGTATTTCTTAACACTTTTAGTTTTGAAATTTTCTGGGTTTCCTTTACAATTCCAAAGCAGTTAACAAGACAGGGCAGCCCTTCTCTATGTTGGTTTTATTTTGTTTTGTTTTTTTGGGGGGAGGTTGTTTGTTTTTTTTGGGTTTATTTTCCCTCTTCTGTTTAATATCAGTACTGTAGACTTAGAGCAGCAAAAAATCCCTGACTGGATAGCAGGTATATAATACACACAGGCTGCAGCTCTGGAAGCTGCATGTATTGTTGTTCTTCATGCAAATGGCTTTCAGAAATGAAACTTTAACACTGGAAAGTGGTCCAACAATGTTGCATTCATTCGTTATTGTACAGGCCTTAGCACAGAGCAGATGTGTTTGTAGCTGTGACTTCTAGGAATGAATAAAATATGCTGGCTACTTTACATAAGCGTGTAGTTTAGCAGCTCAGCCTGAATAGAGCGAGGCAGAAGTTTGTTACACAAGATGTGTTTCTGGTGTGCGGTGTTCAAGTGTGCTAGAAATTGTTGTTATGATACTGGTGATTATATAATAATTTTTGTAACATTTTGTTTAGCTCGTGCATTATATAATTCCGTGTTTGTTGCATGCCACAGCTCCTTTCAGAGCGTTCTGCTGCATGGAAGCTAATTACACTGGGAGTCTTACCTAACTACTCTCTATTTGCTCTCTGAACTGGGAGGTGCAGACTGTGGGAGGTGAGGATATTTCAGCTGCTCCTCCTTTGGATCACTGGTGACCATATTAAATCATGTTTTGTCCAGATGCAAAACAACTGGACCAAAGGACTAGAAATGAAGTCCCCTGCTGTCCCAGGTGGCTATGTTATCTTAATCCCTTCCATAAGCTGATCGCTGTCCATATTAATGAGGTTATGGAAGGGACTGTGCCAGGAGGTCAAGAAACATGTATGGATTCCTCTTGAGTTGAGAGACTAGATGATTGAAGCATTGTCAGTGTCTTGAGTTCAGAGAAATCGTTGTTTTTGTCTTCCAGAGAGGGATCTCAAAGCAGTTCAGCAAAATGGTCACCACCAGAAAACTACAAAAAGTGAGTTGCATTTGCCACTCAGGTGGTTCTTTCTGCCACAGTGTATGTAGCCTTTCAGGCCCCCACTCCTCTTCCCCTATAGAGACCAACAAAAGTGGGAGTTGTGATCTGAGTATTTGCTCATTTAGAATTAGATTAAGGATGGGGCTTTTGTTTTGTTGTTTGGGTTTTTCATTTGTTTGTTTGGGGGGGTGGAGTGTGTGCTCTTTTGAATAGTCTCCTGAACAGCCTCCTGCCTATGATTGATCAGGGTTGGCTTGGAAACAGGAATGTGGTGGTGAAATGTTCCTTGTCTCCTTAGAAATGGTGCCAGGTGTGTTGCTCCTGTGAGCTAAAGCTTTCCTTACTTTTAGGAGTACCTCATTGTGCCAATATGGGAGAGCCTGGTACAGGAGGGAGTGGTTTCTGTTCTGTTTTACACCAGTGTTCTTTAAATAGTCTGCTGAGTTCACAGAGGATATTTTAATATCTCAGGGTTTAAACCTTTGTTCTCAATTGTCATTTGTTTCCATCCTTGTCACAGGTGTGTAGCAGCTTTTGAGGCAAAGCAAAACCAGCTGAAAGAACAACAGAAGGCGACTGCAAAACCTGCAGGTCAAGCAAGCTCCAGATACCAGGGGCTCTCCAAAGAGGATAGAGCTATCGCAGAGAGACTGGAGAGGCTCAGGGAGGAAAGGAGACCAAGTGAGTTTTGGAGAATACTGGAGATACCTTGTGTGGGAACACTGCTACTTTGGAAACTTGGAACCTGGAGGCAGAGGGAAGTGCTGGGCTTTCAGAGCCTTCCTTTTTAGGGAACTGAAGGGTTAAAACTGGACAGAGCATCCACGTCCTGCTGCCACAAGGGCCAGATGCTACAATGATTTTAGATTAATGTTCCAGTTTCTTTTTTGCTTCTTGGGGTTTCCCTTGAAACTACTTCTTAATTCTGGGGCAGTATCTTTCCTGTAAAATCACTTTCACATTTTCCATTGTTTGGGGTAAAAGCCTGTGTCAAGTGCAATAGGAGCAGAATGAAGTGAGGGTCTTTGGCCAAACTATTTGGCAGGATGTTTCCTGTGGGTCATTGTCCTGGGCAACAGCAGCACCAGTCTCTGTGGGATTGTTCTGGCCAGCCTTGCCTCACAGAGGAGAAAAAGGACTCTCATCTGTCAGGTTCTTGTGGTGCTTGTGAGAGAATAAACTATTTAAAAAATGATATGTGATCTCTAAAAGGGAAAGAACACACTGCAAAGTTATTGCAGTTTATCATAGAATCATTTAGGTTGGAAAAGACCTTAAGATGATCAAGTCCAAATGTAGACCTAACACTGCCAAGTCCACCACTAAAGCATGTCCCTAAGCACCACATCTACATGTCTTTTAAATACCTCCAGGGCTAGTGACTCAGCCACTTCCCTGGGCAGCCTATTCCAATGCCTGGCAACCTTTTTGGTGAAGAAATTTTTCCTAATATAAATCTAAACCTCCCCTGGTGCAACTTGAGGCCATTTCCTCTTGTCCTGTTATGTGGTGGGGAAGGGTTTCAGTCTGATATGCCTAGAATTACATAAAAAGATGTGGGAGCAATGAACTGTACTACCTAAATGGCACTTATTTCTCTGCATGTCCCTAGTATCCTGAGTCAGCTGATTGCCAAATGACAATACCCTCATACTTGCCTTATGGCTAGGAGATAAACTGTGCAGGAGGCAAGGACTTGGAAGAAAAGGACAGCAGTTAGCAGTTAGTTAGGATAGTTTCTGAGTCACTGCAGTGTGACCCCTCATGCATGGCTGGGGCTGAGGGAGGTTTTTGCTTGGATGTTCAGAGGCTGATATAATTTTAAGAAAAAAAAAATCTGAAGCTTTTTGTTCTCAATAACAGAGTAATCTCCTCCCTTGGGTTATTCTGAATTGCAGAGTCCGTCCCTACTCAGGCTGAGATCGAAGCTAGGCTGGCTGCCCTGAAGGAGGACTGCCCGGGACCTGTTCCATCCGCACAGGAAGTGGAGGACCGGTTGGCTGTCCTACAGGGGAGAGACCCTCCTTCCCAGGCTCCCAGACCTGTAAGCTCCCTCAGCTCTTCAGCCAGCAATGTATTCTGAGCTGACACAGTAACTGGTGTCCCAGCATTTTAGCCGTTCTTCCCTCTTCACCTTTTTTGTGTCCAGGTGGCTGCCTTCAGAAACCTCCATGTCCTCTTTGTGTCATTGCTCCAGAAACAAATGGCCAGCCTTTACCAGTTCACTGCTTCAGTTTCAGTGCAGTATGTTCCTTTATGTCCAATGTACATCATGTGTTTATTTTTAACAATAGATGCCAAGTTTTTTCCTCTCTACCCATTTGTATGCCTAAGTGGTCTGATACTTTTCCAGAGCTGTTTGTCTGTGTTTGGGCTTATCAGCTCTAACTTCTAACTGTATCCTATAGTTGCTACTGCATCCCAGTTGGGCAAAATCCTGTTAATTATTCCAGGAATGGAAGCACAAGAGTGGTTAGTCTGAGATTGCAGAGGAAATTAGTTGGATATATGTATTCAAAGCCTGTATAAATGGTCTTGTCCCTAAGAAATAATTTCCTCGTGCTCCTTTTCTAGCAGTGCTGCACATCCAGCTGTTATCATAGGCCTCAGGGCTGCTGGCTGCCACTGTTGAGAGTGGCACTTTATTCACATTGGAGGTAGTGGCAGAGCTAGGGTTGGGACCCAGCAGTGTATACTCCTGTACATTCAGCACCACTTTGCCTTGTCTGAGTGACTGCTTTTAGAGTTGTGCACATTCAGCACCTCTGAGAATGAAGCCCTGAAAGTCTTACACCAGGTAACCGTAAGCTGAGACTCTCAAGATCAGTGGATGCATCTTTTTATGCTGCTCCCACCTAGCGTGATCTTGGTTACCAAACTTTTATTTTGCTTGAGTATGCCATTTTTCTCTCATTTGCCTTTTCCCTTTTCCTCCTTGGTGTTTTTTTTAGGTACACCAGCCTCCTGATACCAGAAGTCTGATCCAGCAGACAGAGGACCTGTTAACTCAACTGTCTGAGGAAGTTGCCATTGATGAACATTACAGATCAAGAGTCCAGCCTCAGGGTATCTATTTTGGCTCCCAAAGACCCTTTTTCTGTCTGATAATGTGCATGCTATAGTGAGAAGGGAATATGTGCCTCCCTATCTAGCTAACAGGGGAGCTGGGTGTCCAGTTTGTCCTTGTCTCTCCCTTAGGACTCCCAAATTGACCAAGAACAGCCATCTGGCTCCATATGCAGTCTCCTTGTCTTTGCTTGGAGATGGTTCCTTCTTCTTAGTGTTGTATTATTCAGATTGCTCCTCTCTGTTTCTCTAAGGTGACTCCTCCCTGGGGAGGAGCTGTTGCTACTGCTAACACATCTGTGCTTCGTTGCAAAACATTGGAATCTGGGATACCATTATCTTCCTTGCTGCTGTGCTTTCTCTATAATCTCGCTGTAAAATACACATTAGCTCTCTTTCATCTCTTCATGTACAGTGTGGATCCTACTGTGGCATCCCTTCTCCCATTATTACCCAAATTAATTAAGCTGCTCTCACACCATCGCTTTAGTCACATTGTCTGTGTCGAAGGAACATTGCTGCTGAGTCACCAGCCTGCTCTATGTGTCTGTTTGCAGCTGTTAGTGGCCAAAGTTTGAATGATCTCAATCGGGAAAGTGAAGATGGTGTTTGCCCTGCAAACCTGGACCCCAAACAGCTAGAGGAAGAGAAGAATAAACTTCTGGCAGAAGCTGCTGCCGAGCTGCGGGAAGAGAACACTAGGCAGGAAAAGATCCTACAAGTTGCCAAGAGACTGGCAGCGCTCAGAGGCGAGGACCCAGAGAAAGGTGGGTAGCAGGTGAGAATACAGTGCCCAAAGAAGAACTACGTTTCTGCGACAGAGTAATTTCTTTTTCTGAGAGGCATTTGTCCATTTAATTCCTCTGTTCTGCAAGAAACAGACTGAGATTTGGTTCTGTCTGTGAAGTTGTACAGGTTGGTTCATAATGAAATCAGTTTGAAAGATCTTAGTGAAGGGTAAAGGCCAGAGCTGTAGGGTCAGACTGCTTTGTCTTGCACCCTTCTTTGAGATAATTCTAGCATGCTCTGGTGAGGTTAAGAAAGCTTTTAAAAGCAAAGGTCTATTTTTAGTGGGGATTTTTTCCTTCACTCTTCCAGTACTAAAACCAAACAATAACACCCTTTCTGAGGAGTCCCCAACTGAGAAGTATCTGTTCCAGAGCCAGAATGCCAAAACCAGCTCACACCACAAAGGATTGTCTCTGGCACATAAATGGATGCAAGGTTTGAGGCAGGTGTGACTTACTGTCTCCTGTCTCTTACTCCTGCAGTTACACTGGAAACCTATAAACTCCCTGACAGTGATGAGGAAGTGGCTGAGGAGGAAGCCATTTGCAGAGTGCTAAAACAGGTCAGAAGTGACAGCTGTGGCCTTATTTATCTTCCTCTCAGTTACTCACAGTATGTGTGTGTTACCTGGTGAGTGTGCAAAGGACGTGTTTCTGTTCCTGGGCAGAGTTTCATTCTTTCCCCTCCTAGTGCTTTCCCATCTCTCATGGGCTATTCAGCTACAGGCAATTGCCAACATTACTTCTAGTCTGTCACATTGTCTTTCTCATTCATGCTTAGTGTCTGTTGTGGTGTGTGTCTCCTCTCCAACCCCTCTCTGCTGGTACTTCCTTATTTGTATCCTCTTTTTCCTCCACCCAGGTAGAACATGAATGACGAGATGTGCACTGTTTAGTGTATCCCTAAAATGTCTATCAATTATCTTGCAGGCTGACATCAGTTTTCTGTGCTTAAGTTTCTGCCTGATTACTGACCACACGTGTGATTATCATGATGTTGAGGGTCTGCTGATAGCTGTGCAGTCTCTTGCTGCTTCACTGACTGTTCACAATGTACACACAGTGTTCAAAGTGCAGACGGAGCAAGCTCACATCTGTCTGGATAATGCCAGATGTATTCAGACTTGTCATCTCCTGTTACTGCATGAGAGCAAGGAGAAGGGCAGGAGATTTAGAGCCTAGAATGAGGTGTTTAAAACAAGAAGCTTCTTGCTTTCTGTTGTTACCAGCTCACAGAGGAAGCAGCCCTGGATGAAGCAAGTGGATTTAACATTCCTCCAGATCAGACCACCCAACCAGGACCCTCACAACAGAACCTGCATAAGAAAGCAAAGCAAAAGGTCAGTGAGCTGGTCAGGATCTCTTGAAATAACATGTTCCAGGGCCTCAGGAGAGTACAGTTCTGCAGCAAATGTTGGCTATATCCTAGGCTTGATGGAGGGGAAAGAAAACCAAACTAACAACCAGATTCTCCAGAGCAGACAAGCTGAGTGGCTTCTGCAAGGCTGACCAGTACTGAGCACAGCTCTGAGTCATCCTTGTGCTTTTAAAAGGAGTTGTTTCCTGGAATATAATTCCTTTCAGGCTGGCTTTCTGCTGAATAGGAAGGTGTCCTCTAAACCCAGAGAAGTTAGCATAGACCTCACAAGATGGATATTAGAGAAGAGTTTTTCAACTCACCAATATAATTAGACCAAGAGTCCACAGTCTAGTACCATACAGCCTGAACCAGGGTAAGTGGGAGGTTTGCCAGTGCTCTCAGCATGTGGAGAAGAGAACCTCTAGATAGTAATCAACTGTCTGTGTTCTCATATAAGGTCAGAGGGAGGAACTGGTAACAAGATATCCTATGCTCAGAATGAATTCCAGCCTATTATGGAAATACATACACCTTCTCTAATGTGTATTACAAGAATTAAATCAAGCTGTGACTCACAGACACCTGACAGGCCTGTCCCCAGTGGAAGAAATTGTTTAATTGTAAGCATTATTGAAAACATCCATCTCGTAGGTATGCCACCTTGCGCTTCTGGGATTACTGATGTAAAAGATAGTGCCATCTTACTGCTGTTGTGTTAGGAAGCTGCCTTTGCCAGTGTCCAGACACTGTGTCCTAGTGTGTGTATGGCTGTTTGGTCCCACAAGAGTTCTCTGTAAAGCAGAAGGAGACAATAGTTGGCTTTGTGGGTAGATTTTTAGATTATAATTTAGATATAAGAAAAAACATTTTTACAGTGAGGGTGGTGGAACACGAGAACAGGTTTCCCAGAGAGCTGGTAGAAGCCCCATCCCTCGAACGTTCAAGGTCAGGCTGTATGGGGCTCTGAGCAACCTGATGTAGTTGAAGATGTCCCTGTTCACTGCAGGAGGGTTGGACTTGATGACCTTTAAAGGTCCCTTCTGACCCAAATCATTCTGTGATTCTATAAGATCTTTTTGGCCCAACCTCAGGTACAAATCAATAACAGGGGCCTTTTGGCAAATCACTTCCTTTGTCCCCCAGTTTTCTTTCTACAACAGGAAGAAAACAACTCCACCACCACTCCCCTGCTTTCCCTTCCCACATAACTGCTTTCAGCAAAACTGATCGCTTGCTTTTGCAGCAGGGATGGTTTGTCACTTGGTGTTGCTGTGATGCCTGCCAGAAGATCTGGGCTTCATGCCCTTGACACAGTATGGACAGTGTTGGTGCATATTGCTGGAGACACTGAATGAGGGTGAATACCTGTTTACCTTCTGAGCAACATAGATCCATGAGCAAATGATTGGGAGTACCTTGGGGTTTTATTTAACAATCTAGGTACATATGGAGCCTGTCCTTGGGCTCTGAGCAGGTTCATCTCACACACTTAGAATCAGCAGAGAATGAACTATGGACTATGTGGCCATCGTGCATTACAGGGAAAGTCCTGTATTGTCTCTGCTGGGGTTTGAATTCCGTGTCTCTGTTTTCTATGTGAATTAGAGCCATACTCCAACCACCACAGCTCTTGCCAGCGCAGATGACAGCGATGAGGATGAGTTACCCTGGTGCTGTATCTGCAACGAAGATGCCACTTTGCGCTGCCATGGCTGTGACGGGGATCTGTACTGCCAGCGCTGTTTTCGGTAAGTCTCACAATTCCTCTTCATCTGAGAGGCGGGTCACAGGTAAGCTTGGCTACTTTTGTTTGTTCTTCCTGTTGGGCAGAAAAGCAGGCAGTAGGAGGGAAGGTTTGAGGAACCCAGATCTGACCTGAATGCTAGTTGTTACGGAAATTGTTGTGTGATCAGTAGTTATCCCAGGCTTCAGGAACTGAACTGGTCCAAGGCAGAAATATTCTGCTCCAGTGCCTGTTAGGGTACATTGCCTGAGTGTTCTCTGGAGCAGCTGATGTGCTGCATTGCGTGGGATGGGGTAAGTGAGACCATTGTTCAGCGACTCTTATGGCTTGTTAATGACGTTGATGGATGTTCTGGGCTGGATTCCTGTAAGAGAGGAGATCAGATAGTATAAATTCCTGAAGCTTTTCTTAGCTTGAGACCCTGCAGTCTTAAATCTTATAAAATCTTTGTTGAAATATGTATGTGCAAACCTTTTTTCCTTAGTCAGGCTTTGCAGCAGCTATAGTCTTGGTTTTTAAACATCTGTAGCTTCATTTTTGACAAAAATGTTGCACGTCTAAGATTTGAAGGGTTAATTATTTGAATACAAAGCTATTTCTCACAGCTTGTGTGGCTTCTCTTTTTTATGCCTCATAAATACTGGGTAGTTGGCTGGATTCTGAGACTAGTGCTGGGTGACGTTTGGACAGCGGGATGCTAAGAATCTGGTTGGGATAGTAAGAGATGTTTTTGTGTATATTCTTTCCTGCTAATATTTTTGTAGAGAGATGGAAATGGAGTGGGAGAGAACATATGACAATGGTAAGAGAACATATGACTAGCAGTGTTAGCTGATTAAAAATAAAACAAAAAAAAGTATCAGACAGCAAACACCAATAAAAACAGAATCAGCAGTCTAGCAGGTGAGTGAGTGTATCACTTGCACGCTGCAGATGCAGGCTTGTGTCTTACTCACCACTGCCTGCCTCTGAGTGCAGTTAAGACAGCTGCCAGTACACTGCATTACAACAGTTATTTTTCAGAGTTGTGTGGAGCAGACTGTCATTTTGACTGTTATCATAGGAGTTGCTAATGTGCCTGGGAATCACAGACATGCTGCTGAAAAGAAGCCACCAGTTACATGAACCTCTCAAACTGGAAAAGAAACAGAGGGACCAATTGTCATTTCCCATTTCAGCAGGCAAGGATGAGCAGACCTTGCCACAAAGCACCTCAGAGGTTTCTGTTACAAGCAAATATCTTGAGTAGTCAGGCCATGTGGCTGCCAGTTGGGTCCTCACAGCTAACTCTTGGGATAGGTTTCTAGTTAAGGGCTGCTGGGAGACATCCTGTGCAGTGGCTAAGAGTGAGCTCCCTGCCTGGGTATTGACAACTGACTGTACTTTGTGTTTGCTTCTCAGGGAAGGCCATGATGAGTTTGACCTGAAGGACCACCACACCTCCCGCTATCATCTTCCACGCAAGTAGAAGTGATCACACTCTTCACTTTGGGCAGAAAAGGAGATGGAGAACAGGAAAAGAGGGGAGTCGGCCAGATAGGAAGAGTCCAAGTGGATTTGCAGCCAAAACGGGTGATGTTTTGGACAGTGAAAGGATGTGCTGTAATCTGAGAGAGGCTTGGAGGGTGTGTGACTTTGTCCTCACGCGTACAACCAGAGAAGTACAGGGTTTGCTGCGTGTGTTTGGGGATAAATGAGGACTTGATATGAGGAGGTGGACATGAGTCTGTAAATACAGACGGTAAGGCAATGCGGGTAGCAGTAAAGATGTGTGTTTAAGGCAGTACTCACTGGCTGATAAGTAACTTCCTGCTTTTGCTAACAGCTTACACACTGGATCAACAGGCAGCAAAGCACTTTGCACTAAGAAAAACTGTCTACAGCATGATCACGTGTGATGAGAACTTCCAAAGCATAATAAAAACTATTTATGGAGGCCTGTGGTTAAAGTCTGTCCTGGAAATGCCTGATAGCCCCTTACAAAGTGTTGCCTTTTTGTAATGATATCTTAGTCCTAGTATCAAGTGGCTTAGAGAAAGAAATGAAGGATCACAAAGTCATCAATAATGTTTCTGTGGTGTGGCTGGAAAAGGTGCAGGGGCCACTCTGCCTTGATGGACAGTATTGCTTACGTACTTGAAGGATGCTTTGTAAAGGGAATCTGCTACTGATGCACAGCAGTGTGATCTGCAGTAGCTGTGCCAAGATTCCATGTGGTCTGTAAGAGCAGCCTGTCAGTCTGGAAGAGTTGTGTATTAGTCTGAAAATGGGGTTTGGCTCTGCTTATTATTTAGTCCCCTGGTAGGACAAAGGTGTTACCTGGGTGATGCTCTTTATCTGGTTATGAGAGAAGGTCAGTTTAATATGCTCATGTCTCTCCCTGGAGACAGTCCAGATGTACATGGGGCTTGCCAGTGGCCAGAGCACCCAGAATTGCTTGAAATACCTGACTAAACTTGCCCTAAATTGGCTCTAATATCCTATCAGGATAAGCTCTTCCCTGGACTATAATATGACTTCTGAGACAGCTCTCTGAGGCTGACAAATTCCAATGGCAAAAAAAAATGAAGGATTTGCCTTTGACAGGGAGTTTCCAATGAATCTTGTCTGTCTGGTTTGCCACTGCCACTCCCAGCTGTCTGCCCTGCCCCTGTGCTTAAGGTCACTGCCTCTGTAGGTGAGTTGATGAAACTGTTTGCCTGCACCTCAGCCACCCCTGGTCAGAGCACAGCAAATAAACTGAACTACTGCTGAAGATGAGTTTCTGCTAACATGCTGGACTGGATCAGGCCCTTCAACAGAAATCTGTATCAGACAACATTGAATAGTAATACTGCAGGTTAACACACTAAAAATTGCAAGTGTATCTGGCAGTGCCATCAGAACCCTTTGTCACAAAGGGCTGGCAAAACCAGACTCGTGTGGAGGATCTTCTTTCTCCTGGCAGTCCTTCACCAGTACCTGTCTCTTTGGGACAGGTAGATAGGAAAACTACTTGAGCTATTCTGATGCAGGAGCTCACAATGAGCCCTCTGTTACACAAAATTTAAGTAGAGAGTTACTGCCCTGAGGAGCTTGCAGTCTTAAAAATGAAAACAAAATGCTGTTCTGGCTTTGTGTTACTGCAGGGATGACACTTTTTCATTGCTATTTATTTTCATTGCTGGATAATTAGTCTCATAGCAAGACAGCCCAGTTCTTCTTAGGTTAAATCCTTTGTGTTTTGCATGTACAGGAGAAGATGCAAATACCTTTTCTTATATCTCTTCTAAGACTGATCCACTCCTTTGGGCTCCAGCCTGTGTCCTTTCCAAGCAGTTAGTAGATATTTTAATTTTGCCTTTAAAAAAAAAAATAATATATATATATATCTTGGTATAAGCTGGTATGCTGCTTGCAACATTTCGCATGCTTCATCAGCCACAACCAAACTTTGAGCTCCTTGTGCAGTTAGGCAGCCTGTGTCTCATAAGCCCTGCCTTGTTCACATCAGTAATAAAGGAGCAGGTTACAGCTGGAAGCAGTTTATTTTGTGTCCCAGATTGGTTTCTGTGGGGTCATCCCAAGGAATCCAGAAACGCACCCAACCCAGTACCTGAAATAGAGCTTAGTCATACGTGGAAGAATCTCTTCAGTCATACACACACATGCTGATGCTTTCCTAGCCCCACTAATGGACATTTTTGTGGCTGCTAAGCTTTCTTCATTTAATTGGCCATTTTAGTGGCAGCCCAATCACTTTCCCCTGAAAAGCTGTTCCCACTGTAGCTGTTGCCTCAGTGACCTCCACATAGGAGGGGTAGAAGGGGTATGTGGATCAGCTGTCTGCAGGAGGCAAACCTAGCTCAATCTGTCATTGTGAAAGAGGAATGCTGCATGATGTTTAAGTGGGCAGTGCACTTTTAGCTGTGTTGCTTACTTCCTGTCCTTGTCTTTGAAAAAGGTGCTGGTAAACAAGTAATGATTCTGGTAAGCAGTCAGTTCCTGACAGGCCAGATCAACTTCAGTCATAGCTGTTCAAGGACCAAAGAGAACTTGGTATCTTCAAGAAAGAGAATGAGCTTATTTGCTTCTGTCTTTGTAGCATGCTGTGAGGGCACAAGAAAGTTTTCTTTTCCTCTCAAAGTGTTTTGCTTGTGAACTATCAAATGTAGGCTCCATCCCAACAATAATTTAAAATAATGATAACACAAGGTTGAACTCAGATCAGCTTAGAGACTGAGATCTCTGCTTAGTTAAACTGCATTAACTTGCATTTCCTGTGGCTCACAAGCATGCACATAGTCTCAAGTGCTGTAACATGGTCATGTGTCCAAATGTAGCAATCAGAATATTTTTAAAGGCAATGTAAGGGGTCATAACAAAGGGAAAATTGCCCTAAAGGTTATTTCATACACCTTCATAAACCTTCAATTAGAAAAGCATGTGAACTGTCATACATTCTGTGTTATCTTGGTATAATCAAGAGGGCAAAGTTCCTTTAAAGAAACATTTTTACACATTGTCTGCATGCCAAATATTATAGCTTTATGCTAGTGATGTCACTGAGAAACAGCAAAGTTAAATGAAAGCTGATTGTGTAAAAAACAAAACGAAACAAAAAATACCCTGAAACAAACAACCAGAAACAAAAAACCCCAACCATTTGAATTTAGGCTATCCTTATGGCCTGTGGTCTAGGCTGAGAACAGCCAAAAAGTAAATTAAGTCAAATATGATTTACTGCTTTTAAGAACTAAACAAAAAGAAGTTGCTCTGATTGCCTTATGTTGCTTTTTCTTTGGCACCAGTGAGCTGAGAAATCATCTAACAGTGACCACATCTTGCTTTGCCCTCTATGATCACGCTGAGCTCTTCTGTGGTAGTGATGTTCTAATGTATCAGAACCAACTGCACGTCATAGGGGATGCAGCTTAATCTTTTCCTGCTACTTGCAGAATAAGCACAAAGACAACTTCTGTCAAGCAGAGTTTTAAGAACCTGCTTTTTCCTGGGTTTTAACAATGTCTGCCTTAAAGCAGAGACAAAAAGTCTCTTTGCATCACTCTATATTGAGAGAAGATAGAACAATGTCCAGGGTGGAGAAGAATTTATCTCTTGGGCCAGAGGAAAGGCATCTCAGGTCTTTGTGCTGTCACAGCTCAGCAGAATAAAACAAAACCTCCTGGTAGGGTATGGAATGACTCTGGACTCATGCACTACTGTCCTGCAGCTAGTTACAGCTCTAGTTTAGGACACTCAGCTCATGGGCTGTCCACCTAGATCTTCCACCTGAACTTCTGTTTGAACCTAGTCTGTGTTTTTAACAGTGCTCAGAGATCCTTGTGCGCCGCTCTCCTTTCTGAAGGGGTATGAAACATTAAGTCTTAGCAGGTGTCAATCCCTGAGAAATACCAGATCTACAACCAGTGCAGCTCTGGGTTTAATTTTGTTGTTATTTTACTTAAAAAGTTGAGATTTCAGGAGGGCAGGTATGTTTTCTTAGCCCCTTACTAAGCCAAAAATGGCATGTCCCTAGGGCTACTCTAGATATATATGGACCTGATAAAGAACATTTCTCCAACCTAGTGGGTGAGGCTTAGAGCCTCTTGGAGCAGCTGTAGGACAAGGTATGAACCTGCATGGCTTGGTAACTTCCAGGAGGCTGTCACATACACGAACAGCACATGAAGGGAAGCAAGCCCTTACATCACAGCTGTTAATGCAGCTTGGATTTTGTCTTCTCAAAGATGTGCACAGCTCACAGCTTGTTCGCTGACACTTCTGGAAGATAGGAGGGAAGCAAAAGGTAATAGTCATCACATCATTACTGATAAAGATTAAAACACTAATATATTTAAGATATTGCCAATCTAACCTAAGAGTTCTTGTTTTTGTTAGCTAACCTGCATGTCCCTTTTGTTCCAGCGTTGGCCCCTTCGGTCCCTGTCTGACAAAACATAGCCAAAAGTTTGAATATACTGGTATACAGGAGCCCCTCTGGATGTGACTCCTCAGCTCATCTCTTGTGTTTGAGTGGCAGGCATAATGTGAGAGCCTGCTCTGCCTGAGCAATCAGCCTCCATTTGCTGTCTTATTTCCTAGCCACGTGTGTCAGGTTACTGACTTGCTGAGAGGCTGGATGTAGTTTCCTCTGTATTTTTCCAGCCACACATTAGTTGTAGCCAGAAGAGTTTGTGCAGCAAGACATTGTGTCCTACTTCATTTCTCATTTGTGAGGCCTACCTGTCTGCAAAAGACTCGCTCTGAGATGCTCCCTGCAGGGAAACTGAGAGCAGGTGGGGTTTTTTTCTTTCAGTTTTTCTTCAGTGGCTAAAAAGAGAGCAAAAGCAAGCAATGCACAGCTGGTTTTCTCTGTTTTAATATACAAAATAAGCATTTTTCCAACATCTTTTTAAATTATGAGAAAAATCATTCCCAGACCTTGCTCCTTTAGAAGATACTTCTACATCAGTAAGTCCTAAATTCCACAAAAAGGAAAAACAATCTCTCTTCTATTTGGCTGGTTCACTGACTTCCCCTTAAGTAGACCGGGTTCACTCAAACATTTTCCTTCCATCTTACTGTATATTTTCTGTCCAACCTTCATGAATAACAGAGGCTTAATAAGACTTGCAAAGTACGTGCAATGGTGTAGAGTCAGGTACAGCAGTAACAGGCAGGAGATCACGGCTGGGTCCCAGCCAGACTGGAACAGAGTGCAGCTTAACAGTAACTTATTTTCCATGTTGATGAACATGTGATAACCGACACCTTGTTTTCCTTGCAGCGGGTGGAAAGAAAAGAAGTCTTGATGAGCTCCTGAGAATTGTATATTCAGTGTTCCTCAGCCAGCATGGAAATTCCTGGAAGAAGCTAAAGGAAGGATATCTTTGTCCTGTTCCCCAGGTTAACATGCTCTTTTAGAATCAGAAAAATGTACAGTCTAGTTCCCTGCCGTGTGCATACATCTGGAAGGACTGGAGACGTCAAACCACCAGTACAAAGTTCACAAACTTGGTGGTGTTTCTCAATAACAGTAAGTTCTAAACATATTCTGAAGTGATGTTGCTGATCCTGGGGTTTTTTTGTGGGGAAGATGCGTGTTTCCTTGTGACCAAAGCTGGGTGTTCCATGTGGGCAAGGTCATTTCTTCTGAGGACTGGTGACTCTCCGGAGACCTTTCAATCGACTGAGCAATTCCGTAATGAACTCCTACAATGAGAATTGGTTGAAGAAGGATGTCATGTTAATTCCAGTGCTCGCCAGCTCAAAGAGCATTATTCCCCCATTTACCTTCATGTCGAGCAGAAACCAGAATTTTGACATGTATTGAGCAAACCGGTCTTTTAGTTTAGGAAAAGAGACTTTTTGCTGGATGAAAAGGGACTAAAAGCCACTCTATTTCCCTTCCCCTGTCTCCCTGGGAGCAGCTGTGTTTACTTTCCCCCTGGGAGCCAGCCTGCCTCTCTTCATCCCAGATACCTGCTTTTTCCACCTTGAGATGACCTCAGGATGCTGTTGTCCTCTGTTAGGTTCCTCTGCCCCATAACCTCCTTCCCACTTTTGCTGCCCTCCCAATCTAGGGCAAAACAAGCTGTTGCTCTTGTTGAACCTGTAAAGCTCCATGTTGTGGATTGCAAACCATCTCAGAGCTGTGCCAATTCTACAAGGAAGTGGCTGGCAGAGAAGAGGTGGAGCAAAACACATGTAGGACTAATGATAACCTGGAGCAGGAGCTGGAGACAGGCAGAGCAGATAGATGAGCAGTTAATGGAGATAAACCCCAACTACTTTGCTGACACAGCCAAGGACTATGAACTAAACTGGACCATCTGGTTATTCCAAGCAGATGTGACTAGTGCAAGCTTTATCCTCTGCACGACAAGTAACATCACCATAAAGGAGTGTGCAGGCTTTCTTCACACACAGAGATGGCCACATGTCCTTGTAATTAGGTAAGGTCACTGGAAGTATTGCAACTTGTTACTATTTGTGCTGTGTGGAAGCCCAGCTTCATCACTTGTGCAATCAGAAGTTGCCTGCCACAGCATACTCTGGAAGTAAATGCCTGGGATAACACAGACCTTTTCAGTCTGTCCCTTCAGAGCAAACCAGGTTATTTCCTCTTGTCTGCTTTCTGCAAATAGGCTGCTGTCATCTTTCAAGGGGACTGGATTCCAGATCAGTAGGGTGAGAGTACCTATTTTTGCCAATGGGGCAGCAGTATCTGTTTGTAGTTAGCAAATACTGTGCTGTCCACAAGACACTTTCATGGCTCAGGAATCAGTAGAGCAAACTTACTCAGTTAGCTTTCTGGGAATGTAGGGTTCTTGCCTGAGATCTGAAATTCAGACACTCTGAAAACTGTTTCCCTACTGCCAGCCTTGTCTGCTGACCCCCTGACTATCTGTAATAATTGCTACAGCTGAGTTTAATTTCAGTGATAGGCATGTATCCACCTGATTTTCTGTATGCTCCTCACTGTACAGCCACATAGGCTCGACAAGATGTGGAAACTGATGAATGATGTCCAAGCACAATGTTCACGTGCAGTGAAGCAGTGATGGGTGACCACATTTTGCACAGGTATGCAGTGCAGTGAAGGCAATTGCTGTGTGGTGCACGTACTACATAGGAAAGTCCTGGGCTCCAGTCCTTTGGACATTGTGACAGCTTGTGGGTTTTCTTTAAATCTCTACCTCAAAAACAGTACTTGTAAAGTTCACATGGGGACAAAAAAGAAAACCCCAAACCAACCAACGTGTAAAACTTACTTACACAGCCACTGCTTAGTAGTTATCTGCCCAGTCCAATCTGAGGGCCATCCTACATTCTTGTCACTCATAACGCTAGAGTGGCTTAAGCCAAGAATGCATTTAACAGTGCAAGATGATTCTGTGAGCTGTATCACTGTCTATGGCTTTCCTACACTGAGGACCAAATAGCAACTCAGCCTGGTCATCTTAGGATGTCCAAAGCATGGAATGAACTTTCTTTGTGGTTTTTTGGGTGTCAGAGCCCTGGGACAGGCTGCCCAGAGAGGGTGTGGAGTCTCCATCTCTGGAGATGTGCAAAACTCACCTGGACGCTTTCCTGTGCAACCTGCTCTAAATGGACCTGCTTTGGCAGGGGGGTTGGACTAGATGATCTCCTGAGGTCCCTTCCATCCCCTACCATTCTGTGATTCTGTGGTTGTAAAGTGTAATTCCTTATTTGCTCCACTCCTCAGCCTTCAGCTCACCCATGTAGACTTAAGTGTGTTTTTCTAACACAGCAGAATAAAGTGGCAAATGCCTCCCATTGTGAATTAAACAAATTTGCGGTGTCACGTTAAGCACAGTAGTATCTTGGCTATTCAGCCAAGCATAACATATAGATATGTATAGATGGTGCTTCACTCACCTCTGTCGGGCTGGAGCACTCATGGAGGATTTCCTAAAAAGCAAGGAGGAGTTATTTTAGTATTTTATGAGTTGACCTATTCTCTTCTCCCTTCAAAAAGGGTATATAATCTTACTAAACTGACAGGCTAAGACACAAGGAAGCATCATGCAACACTCTATACACATATTCTGTACCCCACACCCCACTACTTCTCTTTATGAAGGAAGTCCCTAACTTAAAGTCACCAAGTCCCTCTATCTGACCTGTAGTTTTAATTTCTGTTCTTCATTAGGGACCTCCAGGAGATCTTCAAGATCAATTTGTGGTTCAGGAGCTGCTGCCTCTGTTTCCTCTCTTAGCTAAAAAGAAAGAAACAACAACAAACAAATTACAGTTAACTTTCAAAATTCTAAGAACTCTAGAAGCCATCTTTAAAGAGCTGAGCAGCTGAGAAGGAACTAGTTACAATAAAACTATGCTGCAGATTTAGGTCAAGATATAAATCATCTCAAAATAAAGAGGTTCTTATAAAAAGGGCACCCTCTTTGGTGTCTGCTACAGCCACACATCCTGATGTACGCATCCTTCATCTTTTCCTGCCTCAACACTTGACACCACTGCTCAAGGATCATCATCCATGATGGGAAGACCCTTTGAAGAATATCCAGCTGCAACTGCCAACTGCGATGCAGTGTAAGTCAGCCTGGGACAACCCTCATTCATGAAGAGTGTGCTCAAGCACTCACCAAACTGAAATCCAGCGAGCTTAATCTTAGAGAAGCACAACTAATACAAGGAGATTTTAGGCTTTTAAGCTAAATACATTCACATAGTTGGTATTTATACAAAGTCTTTTTGCAGTAATGGAGAGAAAAACAATTACACTCTTGAAAGGCCTAACAAGATTTTGCCAGCTTTCTATAACAGACAAGAGACAGATATGACACTGTCCTTCAATGTAAGGGAAACCCCAAGCTTTGGTGATTGGAGTAATAATCTTGTAATGCATGGGGGTGTTAGTTGGAAACATGTAAACTTGATCACAGACACATTTTTAGCTCCACATGTCTCTACAAGACTGGCAGGCTGTGGTTTCCAATGGATTTGCAAAACAAATCTTTGACAACACAACACTAGTGATATTTTAACACAGTAATCGGCAGAAGAAGGATACTGAGTAAACAGCACAGCACCTGATTGCTGGGTAGCATTTATGGATGTGTATGTAAAACATTAAACAATAAAGGCAATACTTACGGGAAAAAAGAACCTTATTCCGACCAGTCCCTGATACCAAGCCAGAGAGGAAGTAAAAAAACCTTTATTCAGATTTGTTACGCAGCTGACTTGACAGTAAGTAATAAACTGGAGGTAAATATATTGTCCTGTGCCCCACACAGCATTTCTTCTTAAAAGTGATAGTTTTCACGTGACTGTTTAGACAACAAGTGTTGATCCAGCCTGACTTTGGCTAAGAAGCTAAATAGGTCAGGAGGGTGAGACAGGGTAGGAACCCCCTATGGCTGCGTGCTCCTGGTATGGATGGTGTTCTGGCTTCCACATGCAGGGAATAATCTTGAAAAATCAAAATTGTCTCCCGAGTCTTAGTTTTGTTGCAAAAAGCCTCATGACAGTAAATAGCATAGCATTCAGGTTATCTGTATCAGGAGGCGATGTCTGAACTAACCTTGCTGGCACTGGAATCTGCAGTGCTGTTTGTTCTCTGTCACATGGGTTTCTGGAAGCCACGGAGGAACGTTGCACTGCCAAGGGCAGGTGGAGCAGGGGAAGAAGCTGACAAGCAAGACAATGTAATGGAAGTGTATGGATCCAAGGAAGCCCAGACTAGCAGGGCTAATTAAATAGTCTTGGCACAACGCACAGAGGAGAGCAGGAGGACCTGCTGGACACCTGGGTGATTACAAGTAATTTACTGTGGCACATGTATTTATTCGAAAAGATCCTAGGTAACCCCCTGTTGTACCCCATTAACAGTCTCTGACCTGGCACAGCATCACGTTATGTATTTCCTGGTAGCAAAGCTCTTAGGTTGGCCCAAATACACCAGGAAGTTGGGAAACCTGTTGTGCTGGAGAGGTGCAAGCAAAGGCAATCCACTGGCAATCTGTTCCTGTAAGGGCATGGCTGGATTTCTCACTTGTGCCTGCTGGGATTTTGTAGTAGGGAAAAAAATATCCTCTTTGGGCAGCTACTCTGATGACAGTAAACAGCTCCTAGTTCTCAGAAAATCAGAAGTGAAAACATAACCTGACTTGGTTTTTCTGACACCTTTACATCTGTAGACTTGGACAACTAAGAGCAGCACACAGGGAGCCTCATCTTGGGTTATGTTACTGGTGGTACCAAGGGCTTCTCTGTCTCAAAAAAAACCCAACCAAAAAATAAAAAACAAACAAAAAAAAAATCACCAAACCTTCTCTTTAAAACTGCAATAATTCCCCAAAGGGCAAGCTGTTCTGTTACTCCAAGCAGCAGCCATTCTCCTTGCCTACCCCTAGCAAATCTCAACAGTCAGGCTAAAGGCTCTTTGATCTGAGCTACCAACCCCAGGGACAGTCCCTTAAATGCCAGTGCAGGCATGGCTGGCAAGTGACACTGTTCCACTGCTGTTCTGAACAGCTTTCACTCACCAGGACCATCACTCTAGCACTTCACAGAGAAGCTGAATTTTACCTGCCTAGGTTTAGCACTAACATCTGCTCCTCTGTACACTATATAATGGTTCATCATCAAGAGAAATAAGAGACAGCTGAGAATTTACTACTATCATTTTATAAACTCTAGAAAACAACTGGAAATGCACAATTAAGTCTTGAAGCGATTAGGAGCTTTTATCCTTTGTCATTTTTACTGAACAAGCTATAAAATTGTTTGGGAAGTCTAAGAATGTTACTTAACAGAACAGGAGCCTCGTTTTCAGAGAAGCCTTGCATTTGTGACAGAATGATGGACCTTTTTTCTCCATACTTGTTTTCTGCTGCATATTCTTTGCATATGGCATAAATTAAAACAGAAATTAACTATATTTCTTTCCCAACATGGCATGAGGAGCTGGTACGTTCTCACAAATATCAAATAGGAAACAGTCACACAGAAAATTGTTAAAATAATGATTATTATAATAATATACAACACAACAACAACAATAATAAAGACAGCCTCAGGGGTGGTTCCTCTTCAGCTGTGGAGCTGACATCATTCTATCACTCTCAGGCCCAAAAAAGTCAGCCTGGGCAGGCAGAACCTTCTCTGTATCATCATGGCATATCACATAAAAATTGCCTTTCCTGGGCTGTTCTGACATATCGACTTCCACTGTTGATTGCAATTTGAAACTGCTGATGCTCAGAATGGGAGACTCTAAGCAATCATCAGATCTTTTTCCTTTGTATCTCAAAAATATGCTTAATGCTGTGCTGGGGTGTGTACAGAGAAAACAGGGCAGAAAGAGCTTGGCAGTGTGTTTAGTCCATTCTCATCCAGGACAGGAATAAGCTGTTTTGTTAAACCCAGCTATGTCTTCTGGTGAAGATGTACTGGGTTGTGAGTCAGGAAAGCCATGTTCTCTTACTGCATCAGCCATGGCCCTACAGATAAAAGCAAAACCCTTAATCAAGCTTTATAAATGGGTTTAAGACCATGATGTACAATGTGGGAAATCCTTTCACCTTTTCCTGTACCATAGTCCAAAGGAATTCTCTCAAACATGGAAAAGCGCTATCCCTTCAGAAAGCTCCCAGTGTCAATGCCATCCCATCTAAGGACAAAATCTGAATAGAAGTTCTAAAATTTCAGTGTACCCAGCCAGTGCTGGAACTTGACTTAAATGTCACACCACTCTGAAGAAAATATGTCGTGTCCTCTGCAACAGCACAAGTAGAGACTGGTACCATTCAGGTGTGGGATCGAGGCACTCCGGGATCTTACTTCATGGGACAGCTCTCACATAGACAGGAAGAATTTAGGAGGGCCTGTTCCTGCTGTGAATCTCAGGCAAGGAGCACAGCTCTAGGGATTTACAAAGATTAAGGCATAAGATCTCTACATTTCAGCATGGGTTTTGTTGTTGGTTTTTTTTCCTTTCTTCCCCTGCTGCTAGTAGCATGTCCAGCTACAGATACAGCATTATCCCAAGTGTCTCATTCAAACAGCAGCTATAACTACACTGTTGTGACCAAAAGGAACAAGCACACGCTGGTAAGTCTAACCCAGTTAACTCAGATACTGCTTGCAGCAAAGCCACTCACCACATGGGGCTCAGCAACAAGAAGCATCCCGAGATATTGTACATCTCTCTAGGTTCTGCTACTCGTGCTGAGCAACAGCTACGCCCTCCCAGCAGGAGCAAGACCAGGCAGTTTAAAGCTAGTTGGATTATATTGGTGCAGACTTGTCTGATTGCAGACACACCAGTCAGTGTGCTATAGCAGGTGGCAATCAGATACCCCTTGTCCCATTCCCCTCGGGAGTGAGGGGCTGATTTGCCCCAGCTACTCACCCGGCATTGGTACAGCTCCTGCAGCTGGGCATTGATCCATTCCTCCAGGTCTAGCCAGCGCTGTAGGTCTTTGCGGTTGTACTTTATGGTTAACTTGCCCAGTTTCCGATGTGATGATTCCTCCCCAGGTTTCTCTGGTGTCTGGAAAGTGACTCGTGGCAGTGTGCTGGAGTTGCTGGCCATGCTCACCTCTTCCTTCTCCTTCTCTGACAGCAGGAACTCACCTTCCTCGGAGCTCCCTCACTCCTTTTCTCTATCTCCTTTAACCAACACCTCTCTCAAACTAGCAGCTCACAGCACAAGCTACTCAGAGACACCAAAGGTGGGCAGCATTGGTGATCCCAGGGAGAGAGGTGGAGGAGACCACCACAGTGGCCAGGCTCTGCAGACAGAGTTATGGCAGCAGCATCTTGGGTTTCACCATCAGCCGTGCTGACAGGAGCAGGGAGGCAGGCAGAGCAGTTGTGGTAATAACATCTGTTGTTAAAAGAAGCCAAGTGAACCAGGGAATTGATGAACCAAGTTGGTTAATATTTAACGCAAGTCAGCTCCAAGAGGTGGGGAAGTAGGAGGTTTTAAATGACTGTTTTGCTACAGGCATAACTTATGTGCATGTGCAATTCCAGAGGGCTGATCCCCGCAGAATGCTTTGAATCCTAGAATCACAGAATGGTTTGGGTTGGAAGGGACCTTAAAGATCATCTAGTTCCAACCCCCCTGCCAGCAGCAGGGACACCTTCCACTAGACCAGGTTGCTCAAAGCCTCATCCAACCTGGCCTTCAACACTTCAGGGAGGAGCAGCCACAGCTTCTCTGGGCAACCTGTTCCAGTGTCTGACCACCCTCACAGTGAAGAACTTCTTCCTAATATCTCATCTAAACCTCCCCTCTTTCAGTTTAAACCCATTTCCCCTTGTTTTGTCATTGACTGCCATTTTGTCCTGCTGCGTTCAAGCTCCACCAGCTTCTGTAAACTGCTTTGCCTGCAGCTACAGGGTTTAACTCCCATTGAAATTGAGTATTTGGCATTTTTCTGGCTAAAGCACTGGACCCAACACAGATAAGAAGTGGTCTGGAATCAGGTGCGCCTACATGCACTATTTTACAAGAGTAGGAATACAAGGCCAGTGACACTGCGAGCCAACTTGGACTCAGCAGTCCCATTTTACATTGTTTTACAATCTGTAAACTTATTCTCAAAAATTTCTGTAGAAATCTTTGTGGTCTGATTTTGAGATAATTTGAGCAAGGCACTGCTGAGAAAAAACAAAGTATCTGTGCTCTTATTAAAAAAATATAAAAAATAGAGTATTTACCATGATGACACTGCAGGTGAAGGCCTGTCAAGGGATATAGCACTATCTCCTTCCCACAAAAAAGTATTGATGGTAAACAGGGTCACCTGCTGCAGCACCATAAAACTGCTATCACACTCTATATTATCTTTGCTTGCTCTTTCTTACCAGAAGGCAGGTTGAAGGTCTGCAGCATTATTGCCTCATGCCAATTTAGAAGGCTACGTGTGAGCAGCACCGTTCAGAGGAACAGAACTCAGGCTGGCTGTGTTTATGGGGTGCCAGGGCACTGGGACACTTGCATTCCCTCTAGGTATGTATCACACCTCTCTATTTACCTGTTCCCAGAGTCCTCCAGTGACCTGCCCAGGGAGCTGCCCTATCGAACAGACAAACCAGCTGAGATCCTCCATCGTGAAGCAGATCCATCAACCCCAGTCTCATGATTTATGTGGAAAAAGCAGGTAAATCTCTGCTGCTCCTGACAGCCAAGGTACTTCTAGTTTGGAGACCAAGATCTAGGTAAACCAAAGGAAAAGCAACCAGCCCTTCTCCCACTGAAGCATGGGGCAGTCTGAAGCAGGGCTGGTCTCCTCTGGAAGTCATACCCAATATCCTTGCCAAAGCCACATTCCTGTGCCCAGAGGGTTGGTGGTACAGCCAGCCAGCAACATCTTGTACACAGGGTGATAGAAACTGGACAGAGCCATTCCATCCCTTCTTTTCATCCTGAATTTGAGCAAAAAAATAAAAGCCTTTTCTGATGGAAAATTTCACAAAATGCTGAAACTTGCTTCCATAGTTGTCAGCTATTTAATTTAAGAGGCTTTACTCATTTTTCCTCACTGCTTGGCTGTATCCTCCCTCTAATCTCACTCCTAAAACTGTCTTATTTAGACCAAAATTTCCCAGAAAATCATGTTGTGAGAGGCTCAGAGGATACCCAGTGGTTATATGATCTAAGGATTACATTTAAGGTTTAAGGATTCTTCAGAGCTTCTTAACTGTTCAAAACCTTGCAAAACCCATTGAACAGCCTATAATGTGTTTACAACTATTGACTTTTCAAAGGTTAATATGCTGGCCCAACATGGGCAGATTTTCACAAGGTCACTCTGGACCAAAGGACACCCACTGCCAGGTCCCAAGTTCCCATCTCCAAATAGAAGTGCTCTATTTTGGTGTTCAAGGACTGACATTTTTTAACAGGGGAAAACAACATCTATTTTCTTTGGTCTTGAGGAACTCCAGACAGGCTGGCATTAAGACCAGAGAAAGAGGACCAGACTTACAAGAGAAGTTACCTGGCATCACTGGGTCAATCCAAAAGTTTGTAGCAGCTGAAGGGCTGGCAGGGAAGTTGCCCTCTTCCTCCATCCCCTGTGCTGATTCTGGTGCTCTTCACTGAGCAGTTCAGTTCAATTTTACATGAAAGATGGGGTTTGCCCTCCTAATCTTCTGCCAGCAGAGTTGAATTTATGAAGCACAGGATCCAGAGGTGACAGGATATTAAAAAGAGTGTGGCCAGCAGGTTGAGGGAGGTTCTCCTCCCCCTCTACTCTGCTGTGGTGAGGCCACATCTGGAGTACTGCGTCCAGTTCTGGGCTCCCCAGTTCAAGAGGGACAGAGATCTTCTGGAAAGAGCCTAGCAGAGGGCCACAAAGATGATGAGGGGCCTGGAGCATCTGCCTTATGAGGAGAGGCTGAGAGAGTTGGGACTCTTCAGCCTGGAGAACAGAAGACTGAGAGGAGATCTTATCAATGTCTATAAATACCTGAAATGTGGGGGCCAAATGGATGGGGCCGGGCTCTTTTCAGTAGTCCCCAGTGACAGGACAAGGGGCAATGGGCAAAAACTGGAACACAGAAAGTTCCACACAAACCTAAGGAAAAACTTCTTTACTGTGAGGGTGACAGAACACTGGAACAGGCTGCCCAGAGAGGGTGTGGAGTCTCCATCTCTGGAGATGTTCCAAACCCACCTGGACGTTTTCTTGTGCAACCTGTTGTAGGCAACCTGCTTTAACAGGGGAGTTGGACTAGATGATCTCCAGAGGTCCCTGCCAACCCCCACCATTCTGTGATTCTGTGTGTGATAGGTGTGAGGAAGGGAAGGGGAATATAACCAGCCCTAACGCCTCTTCAAACAGCTCTGACTTGTAACCTCACTTAAGCATGAGCAATGCACTGAGACACCACATCTGAGAAGGACCACAGGCAGGCTCACCCCACTCTATCAGTGAAGTAATAATCAGACCCTGGTGCCCTCATGCTGCTCTATCAATATCACCCTACAACAGAATAGGATGTTCAGAGGGGGATGTCAGAGGCCATCTCAGGAAATCTGTAAGCCAAAATGGGCCAGATTACAGGACGTTCATCATACTGATTTGGCTTATAGAAGCTTAGTCATTAATTCTTTGTAACGAGAAGGTGGCAATATAGAAATAAATGTCAACAGATAAAGTAGGCCTCCTCCGGTAATAAACTACTTTATCATTAAAGCAAGAGGAAGAAGCAAAAAGACTGTGTGCAAGATCACCCCGAGAGGGTGTGGTAGGAGTTCCTGTAGGCACAGGATTGGGTGCCTCATACAGGTTAAGTGATATTGTCCCTTTTGAATGAGGCAGCATCTCCTACCAGTGCACCAGCTACCTGCCCATGCTGCTAAGTGCCAACTGCCACCAAACAAGAAGCAGCTGTATGACTTTTCCCAGTGTTGCACCCCATCCTGTCCTTTCCTGGCATCACAGCAGATTCAGGTGGCCAAAGGGACAGAAGGACATTCACCATTTTGTTTGGACATGCACAGTGGGGGGGGATTGCAGGGATCTCTGAGATCTCAGGTATGGCTGGGAGATGAGATCTTATTTTCAACCTAGTTATCTCTTCTTATAGCCTTGGGCATACAACCTGGACCAAAAATGTCAGAAGTGAACACATACACTTGGGCAACTAAGTCATGTAATCAGTCAACCTGTTTTTTCACAAGAGCTGCACACACAGAAGCTCCAATGGACTGCCTGCTGCAGTTGCTGGTGATCATGTCCTCTGCAAATCTGCTTTATGTAGGTCAATAAAGGGGGTTTAAGCACAGCCAACATATTTGAGTGTCAGAGCACTGGAATAGGCTGCCCAGAGTGGAGTCTCCATCTCTGGAGATGTTCAGAACCCACCAGGATGCTTTCCTGTGCAAACTGGTGGAGGGAACCTGCTTTGTCAGGGGGGTTGGACTGGATGATCCCCTGAGGTCCCTTCCAACCCCCACCATTCTGTGATTCTGTGAGTGTTAGACTGAAAGACTGCACCTCAGTTTCCATGTGTGTGGCCTGGAGTTGCTGCTGTTCCAGGCCTGCCCTAAGAGGGAGGTTTTGCCTCCGAAAGGAGAAGAGAGGAGGCTTTGATACTGTGGAGTTGGGCTTTTGTGACTGTCTATGGCCCCAGATAGGGCCACCAAACCAAGCTGAGCATCTGCATTGCAGTGCCAAGCAGCTGTGACACTGATCCAGGCAGCAGAGCAACCAAGTGGATGAGGCAGATCTGGTTACGCTCCTCTGTTCTTGAAGCTAATAATCTCCATCCCACACCTGTGACCTAAGCTGGTGCTTCTCTTCCTCTCCGAGCTGATGACTGTGGTGTGTGCTCAATAATTCAGCAGGGCCCCAGCTCATCTTTCCAGAGAACCAGGTCGGCTCCTTTCCCTTGAGTGCCAGCCTAGAGAGGAACATTTCCCTTCAAGACAGCCAGAAGCCACTCTCCACCTGTTTTAGAAAATAATCACTTTCCCTGTGGTTGCAAACAAGATAGTTAACACAAATTAAACCAAGGAAGGCAACAGAGGTGACTGTATCAGTACTACGTTGACACCACGAGGTGAAGAGGTTCAGCACCCTCCTGTGA